GAGAGAGAGAGAGAGAGAGAGAGAGAGAGAGAGAGAGAGAGAGAGAGAGCTCCTTGCTTTAACCCGGAAAGGCATTGACAGATACTAGTTGAACAACGAATCAATTCGCAGATATCGGTTTGGTGACTGAGTTTGGTGACTGAGCACCTTCAACAAGTGTCAAACAGTCGTGCGGATGGCCATGCATTCTAAGGGAACCTTGATGCTAGGTGTGGATTTGCTTGCCGCAGGTTAGCACTTGCTGGGCAGTCTTGGATGCTGAAGTCCACCACCGGGGGAAGGTTTGATGGTCTGTGGTGGGACTTCCTGTTGGATTTGGATCTGTTTCGAGCAGAGTTTCGCACTCAAGAAATAGAATTGAACTTCAGATCCCGCAGGTTAGCAGTTCTTGGACATTTGCACTCTAAGGGAACCTTGATGCTGGGTGTGGATTTGCTTGCCGCAGGTTAGCAGTTGTTGGGCAGTCTTGGATGCTGAAGTCCTCCACCGGGGGAAGGTTTGATGGTCTGTGGTGGGACTTCCTGTTGGATTTGGATCTGTTTCGAGCAAAGTTTCGCACTCAAGAAATAGAATTGAACTCCAGATCCCGCAGGTTAGCAGTTCTTGGACATTTGCATGGACAACTAGCGGATTGCTTGTGGTGTTCTCGGGGTACAAACCACAAGTCAGAGTAAACTCTCATTTAGATGGACAACATGAACGCACACCACTGGCTTAGTGTTGCTGTGACAGACAGTACACGGTTCAAAAGGGCATCGTGTTGGGTATGTGGTGCCTGTTTTCCGTAAGAGGTCAGGGGTCCGGCACCCGATACCTTGCAAGTTGATGGACTGAACCTGTCAACTGTGGTCGGACGGAACACCCAGTTGGTGCACGACATTTGGCAACTTGAACAGGCAACACGTCAGTACCCCTGCAACAAATGTGTCGACCATTTATCTTCCCAGAAGGACCTCCTTTTCCGGTTGACAGATAGTAGTTGAACACCAAATGATTCGGGAGTTAGTGGTGTTCGACAGAGCACCTTAAGGAAGTGGTAAACAGTCGTTCGCTCTCGATGCCGATTGCCAATAGCACTGTTCGCGCGCGCGCGCGCGCGCGCGCGCGAGAGAGAGAGAGAGAGAGAGAGAGAGAGAGAGAGAGAGAGAGAGAGAGAGAGCTCCTTGCTTTAACCTGGAAAGGCATTGACAGATACTCGTTGAACAGCGAATCAATTCGCAGAATATCAGTTTGGTGACTGAGCACCTTCAATAAGTGTCAAACAGTCGTTGGTTGTCTGTGCGGATGGCCACGCACTCTAAGGGAACCTTGGTCTGTGGTGGGACTTCCTGTTGGATTTGGATCTGTTTCGAGCAGAGTTTCGCACTCAAGAAACAAAATTGAACTCCAGATCCCGCAGGTTATGAGTTCTTGGACATTTGCATGGACAACTAGCGAAATTCTCGGGGTACACACCACAAGTCGGAGTGAACTCTCATTTAGATGGACAACATGAACGCACACTATCAGCGCGGTGATACAATACGGATGTTGGCTTATCATTTGCATGGACAGATCAATAACATAGATTCGTAACATTCATTCTTGTCATCGCAAACATCGATCCCCTCCTTGACATGAGCATGTATAGGACTGTAAGACATTGGCATGAACATCGGAGATCGAAACACTTGCAAGGTTATCGGCATGTCATTTCTTTGCATGGACAAGATACATAACATGCATTCAGAACATTTACTCTTGTCAGCGCAACGTGGAAATGGAAACACTCGCAACTTGCATAGTTTTTTCCTTACATTGCACCTTCGTAGATGGAAACACCGCACACAGAGTTGCGAGAAATGTTCAAATCACTGACCCGCACATTGCAACGTAGACAGGGGTTGTTTCCGGAAAAACATTCAAAGCAAAAAATCAGTCAATCACACGTTGCCTCTCGCACCTATTGCAACTATTGCCTCTCCCATCTCTATCTACTACTTCATGTCCACCATTTCAGGTTGCACATGCACATGCACGTCATGTTCCACAAAATTGTACTTTAACATGTTTTCCCTTAAACACAAGGTCTGACCACACGTCCGTATCTTGTGACATACGGGGTTTCCCACGGACGAGGTCGTGAATGGAAGCCATACATAGCATTCATAGATGATCCATACACATGGATCTGCGGCTCGTCGACTATTGCATTTTCCGAAAACACGGACATGTATTTCATCCTAACAAACCCTCCGGGTCGTGCTAAGGAATTCCCAATACAGTCTCGTATGTCGGACACTTTCTTCCACCTCATAAAATAATTCTAAACATCTGACCTGACCTGCTCTTACGAAATCTGACCGCCCATCTACATCGGGGCGAGACATCACCGGCTTGAATTTGTAATCCTGTTGTACCATCTCGTTCCGTGACACGAGCACAACTGCATCCACGAGTTTTCTACTTTTGTCTGAAGAAGCCACACATAGCACTCTGGCGAAAGGACATCCGTCATCAGTCAACTGCACACAACAATATGATATAGTTTGTGGAGAAGTCCCTGGGCAACGGGGTGGGTAGTGTTCCAAGAATGAACAACGACGAGCGCAGTCCACCAACTCTTGTTTCTGCGAACTTTCCCAAGTTCGTGGCGAAGATGTGATGTACTCGCAGTGGAGGCGACGTCTGAAGCTGGTACGGTAGCGGATCAGTTTATCCTTATCGTCCAGGGTCTTTCGCTGGAGGACACCATCAGGCAGTGCAATGAGGCTCCCGAACTCTAACATGTTGGCAAACTTGTAATGGCTTGCCCAAGGGCAGGCACGCTTCATCGCCTTCCAATCATTATCGTTCCATTCATCAAGATGTCGGTTCATGTACGGGACGACAGTCATTCATGGGTCCTCGTCGAAGTCCTCCTTGGCTGCTTCATCGATCCACGTTTGACCGTCATGATGCCGCACCGATCTCGCACAAGGTGAAACGGTCTTGCTAAGCGCATGTGCTTCTCGGGACTCAAGCGCATGTGCATCCCGTGACTCATGCTGACGCTTGTCGAAGGTCTCGACAACATTACACTCCCTACACATCACGGACACACAAACGACACATACGGACGTGCAGACCGTCGTAAATAAAGTTAGCCAATGATAAGTCCCCTGGTGCGGCCAACACTCAATCGTTACGCCCCGCACTATATATCGACAAGCTCCTCACTTAAGCAAAGTGCGAGTGAAATCTCACTTACGTGCGAGTGAACTCTCACTTAAGCAAAGTGCGAGTGAACTCTCACTTAAGTCTGACCACACGTCCGGATGTAGTGACATTCGGGGTTCCCCGGGGACGAGGTCGTGAACCGAAGCCATACAAAGCGTTCATTGATGATCCGTATACGCGGATCTGCGGTTCGTCGACTGATGCAATCTCCGAAAAACGGAGACGTATTTCATCCTAACAAACACTCCCGGTCGTGCTAAGGAATTCCCTATACAGTCCCGTATGTAACACACTTTCTCTTCCACCTCATGCCACAAAGAAAAGTTTTGGACCTGCCCTGCTATCACCAAATCTCGCCACCCATCTACACGTTCAGGCCCGCGCGTCGGCACGAATTTGGACCCTTCAATTACCACCTCATTGCGCGATACAAGCACAACTGCATCAACGAGTTCCCTACTCTTGTGCGAAGCAGCGACATACAGAACTCTGGTGAAATCAGATCCGGACACAGTCAACCGCACACAACAGTACGACACAGCTCGTGGAGAAATCCCGGGGCAACGGAGTAGGTACTGCTCTAGGAACGAGCAGTGACGAGCGCAGTCCACCAACTCTTGTTTCCGCGAGCCTCCCCAAGTTCGTGGCGACGACCTTACGTAGTGGCACTCGAGGCGACTGAAATAGTGACTAATGCAGCTTAGTGCTCTGCACATACGGTTCAGGAACTTCTGTCCGAGGACAGCGTCAGGCAGTGGGATGAGGTTCCCCAACTCCAACATGTTGGCGAACTTGTACTGGCTTGCCCAAGGGCAGAGTCTCACCATCGTGTCCCAATTGCCCTCGCCCCAATCGTCAAGATGCTCGTCCATGCACGGGACGACGGTCATCCATAGGTCCTCGTCGAATTCCTCTGCGGTCGCTTCGTGGATCGAAGTCACACCGTTGAAATACCGCACGGATCTCGCACAAGGAGGAAATGGTTCTTCCAATCGAATGTGCATCTCGGGACTCATGGTCCGTGGTGTCGAGAAGATCGACTCCATGATCTGTGGTGTCGAGAAGGTCGCCTCCATTACGCACCCTACACACCATGCACACATACCAAACGATACACACTGGCACGTTGACACTCTTGAACATAGTTGGCGAACGGGAACTGCCGTGGCCACGCCCACACGCAGTCGTCAAGCGGATTGCTCGGGGTTCAGAGCACAAGTGCGAGTGAACTCGCAGTTAGATGGAGAGCCAGGTGGTCACACCACTGAAGTGGAATGCTCGGGGTGCACACAACAAGTGCAATTGAACTCGCATTAAGATGGAGAGATAGGTGCGCATACCATGAACTCATGTGTGTAATGTATAAGGAAATCGGCGTGTAACATCCGTTCAGAACTTTCACTTCTACCGATGACGACAGGCCGGTGTGTACATGCGTTCATTCAAAGTTCGAACAGGCAACCCGAACGTAAGACACTGCGGTGCATCGACTGGAGCATCCTCTGCGAACATAAAAATATATTTTATGCGAACGAACCCGGTCCTTCCGGCAAGAGACCTGCCTATAGCATCCCGTATAGAGGACGCTTGAGCTTCAACCTCACGCCATGCGTCCACATCGTCCACCTTACCCCCGATTACCGAATCCCATGGCCCTTCGAATTCTATTGTGACCAAACCCATCCCGTCTCTCCCGAGGTTCAACTCATTCCTGGACACGTAGACCACAACGTCAGTCAAGGTCCTATTCCGATTTGAGCACGTGACGCAAAGGACCCTAGATAAGAATAACTTTCCGAGATGCAATCTAACGCACCAGAAGGAAACTGCTCGAGACAACAGCCCTGGAGAGCGCAACGGGTACTCATCGAGGAACTCGGAATGTCGTGCACAGACAAGCAACTCGTGTTTCAGCGCACGGGACCATGTGCGAGGCGAAGCTGTCACGACGTTGCAGGCCAACACATTGTGATAATGAGCAATATTCAGCTTTGCACTCAAGCGACGACACCGAACTGAACCGAGCACAGCTCCAGGCACGGGAATGAAACTCCCAAACTCGCACATGTTAGCGAACTTGTAGTCATCCGCCCACGGACACTCCCTGAGCATTTTGTCTCATTCTTGCTCTTTCTACGAGTCCAGAGGAGCATTAGTGAACGGGGGGACGTTCATCCAAGGATCACACTCCATCTTGTCTGTTGTCGCACCGTCAATAACAGTGGAGTCTCCACTGCCCGAGACGTGCAGCGCGCATGGGGGAAAAGGGTATGCCATGCGCTCACGCTAATTACCCAGGATAATCAACTCCGACATGGCCATCGCGATCGGTAAATGCCCTGCAGGCCACGATAATCAGCAAATGCTTTCACCCAGCTCACAGGGAAAGAAAATAACCATGCCCCCCAAGGACGTCCGTCGGAACTCCGATGACGGGCGTCTTGTTGAACACGACCACCACCGCACGGCCGCACTGCATCCAGCCGGGCGAGAAGTACATCAACGGGCATGGCAGGAGAGAGAGAGACAGAGAGAGAGAGAGACTCTAGTTGAACAGCGAGTCAATTCGCGGTTATCGGTGTTCGACAAAGCACCATAAGGAAGTGTCAAACAACACTACATGTATGCAACGTCGAGCACCCATGGGCACGTATACAAGCAACGAAAGTGATCACGAGCCTTCTGCATCGGTTGAAATGACCACCTTCACGAAGTGCCAAACAGTCGGCGGTCTGAGGTCTCTAGTGCTAAAAGCATTCTTAGGGGACGTTGTGGCCGTGTTCAGTACTGCTTGGCGTAGCACTAGATGCTCACCAAACAGTTTTGGATGCCGATCCTATGGATACTTCATATGATGCTTACAACCAAGCAGCGGCTGATTGTAGGACCTTCTATCCGGTGTGGATCTTTGAGAGCAGATTTGACGCAATCTACCGTTAGATCCATTCCGGCGAGGGGGACCTGCCATTCTGCCGCTGTTTACTGTACTCATCATATGGAAATCGACGACGTGAGGAACCGACAATGAACATTCTTAGGGGACTTTGCGACCCTGTTTGGAACTTATTGGCGTGGCACTAGATGCTCACCAAACAGTTCTGGATGACGGTTATCTCGACACATCATATGATGCCTTACAAGCATATTGTGGTCGGATCCCGGCCCCCATCCCCGGTGTGGATCTATGAGAGCAAATTTGACGCAATCCACCGTTAGATCCACATCGGAGAGGCGGACCGGTCATCCTGCCCTTGTTTAGTGTAGTCATCATGTGAGAGTCGACATCGCAAGAACCCGACGATGTTCCAATTGGGACGTGCTCTTGCTTCGTGATGTGCAGGTGCTTACCGGAGGCTCGTTCGATCCCCTCCTTGATATGAGCAGTTTTTTATCGAAAACATGCATGCATCCCATCACATGAAGATGAGAGATCGAAGCATTTGCAAGGTCTCTATTTCGGAAGTCGGGAGAAACGGAGAGATGGAAACATTTGTAGGTTGCCTGTCGTTTTTGAAAGGTCAAGTTGAGGTCAAGTTGAAGCAAAGTGCGATGGAATTGCTCGGGGTTCACACCGGAAGTGCGAATGAACTCGCACTTATATGGAGAAGCAGGCACGCACACCATCAGCGCGATGATTTAATATGGACATTGACTTGTCATTTGTATATTATCCGGTGAAAATGTCATCAAATCTTTGGGTGGAGAAGATACATATTCATTCCTATAAGTAACTTTTGTCATCGTCTTCAAGTTGCCTACTGTTTTTCTAAAGGTGAAGTTGCATACCACAAGGAGAGTTTCCAGAAATCATTCAATGCAAAAAAATCATTCAATGGCAGATTGCAAAGTACACAGAGGCGTTTTAAAAAACAATTTAATACAAAATTGCAAAGTACACGGAAGCTTTCAAAAATTCACAAAGCACATGTAACCTTTCCAAAAATCATTGAAGGACACGTTCTAAGGCACATGTAGGCATTCCAAAAATCATTCAAGCCCACGTCGTATAGTCTACATGACATGCCCTTATCTACAGAAGACGCTTCCGCACAGTCTATATGACTCGCCCTCTTCACCACAAGCCGAAAAGTCCTGCATTACACATGAAACGAACCCTATCTCTAATACGAACATGTCGAACACAAGTTCAACCGAAGACCTACACGAAAGCTGATTCAAGCTGAAGACCTACACAAACACTGATTCGTGCCGAAGTCCTGCATTAAACAAAAGGTCATCCGAACCCGACACGATGTTCACCTGCCTCGCAAGTTCCACACAGAAGCTTATCCAAGCTCGACATGATGTCCACAACGTGACATCCGAGCCCTGCAGGATGTTCACCTGCCTACACAAGTCCTACACAGAAGCTCATCCAAACCCTACATGATGTCCACAACACGATAGGGCCAGACCCACTGCAAAAGGAGTGAGGAGATAAATGGGAGTCTATTCGCATATAAAATCCGAATATCCTGAGACGATGAGTATCTTCGTAGCATACGTCGCGTGGAAAGAGTTAGTACGATGTTCATGGTAGCAGCCCTAGCGTGTACAGTCTTCGAGCAGCCTCCCGCGATCGTCGTCGTTGCTCTCGTCTATGTTGAACTCGATTAAAAGGACTTGGTTCGGGAATTCGGGCCTTAAGATCTGCTTCGATATCCGGCAAGTCGTGCATGAGTATATCTCTTAAATCTCGATTCAAATTGCTCCAGCGACGGATTTCGAACGGACAACAGTCTCCCCAGAACGGGGGACTGTCATCATCTTCTCTCACGCCGGATACAAGGAATAATTCTCCATCCAAACACAAGGCGATATGCATGATGACGATCGATAAGAAAAACGTAATGGCACGCTCACAACCTTTCGGCATTCTATCGAAAGATGTGCTGGTTACGTACGAATAATACAAACAGCTTCTCAACTCCCCTTCGGACGCAATATAGAAATCAATTCTGAAGACGGGCCTGTCACGCAGTATGGCCATCACAATGTACTGAAAAGCTGGGGTAGACGGGGGCGAAACAAACGGCTGGACACGAGCGCGAATATCTTCAGGGACCGGAAGGTAGCGGCAACAACTCTGGGAAGCCCAATGTTGCCAAACCACTCTAAACCATAAATGTTCTCAGTTGCGGCAACAACTGCACTTCGCAGACTTTCGCAGTAGTCGAGGTCTCTAACAACGACCGTCCACTTCCGGACGACATCCTGCATCAGAAGAGAGAATAGCGCCCTTGCGGGTGTCAAACATTCCACCTTGTCATACACGAAGAGGTGGCTAAACGGCGAAGTTGACACCGGCTGATGTTGGCAAAGTGTGAATGAACTCGTAATTAGATAGACAGTTTGTGATGCAACGGGGTATACCGAACGGGATGGGGCATGATGAACGATAGATAAGTAAGGGGGTGAACATGGAATTCAATGGGTTGTAAGCATAGTGCGAGTCTATTCGCAATAGAGAAAACACGAAGCAACTAATTCAGAACGCCGCTAGTGAAGATGAAGATGTCCAGCATCGCAGTAAGGTCAGTCGCACACCTATCTCGTATTGTGATGCAACGGGGTATACCGAACGGGATCGGGCATGATGAACGAGAGATAAGTAAGGGGGCGAACATGGAATTCAATGGGTTATTAGCATAGTGCGAGTCTATTCGCAATAGAGAAAACACGAAGCAACTAATTCAGAACCCCACTACTGAAGATGAAGATGTCCAGCATCGCAGTAAGGGCAGTCGCACACATATCTCGTCTTCCCGTTGCGCAGAGTCACTTCCTGGGGTCCGGAGGCTGAATCATCCAGATGGAGGTAAGCAAATCGTAATTCGTTGTCCCTATGTTCGACTGTGAAATTTATTTCATCGTAGCTATCAAAGAGGTAGTGAAGTTGTTGGTGCACGAAACAGTCAACCCGCAAATGCATCTCATCTTTGAGTGCTTGATCTATGGCGAGCCTGTTTTTGAACCGTGCAAGGGAACCAGTACGGCCGAATGTGTGAAATGCTTGGAAAGAAGTGAGTTTGACACCGTGAAATTCCTCCCTTGCGAGAAAAAGAACTCTCATTTGTCGACCGTCCACCTTCACGGCAGTGAAGAGCGTCACGACGGTGGTGCCTTGATTACACACCCTCGCTCAACCGAAGTAGTCCATGATCATCGGCGTCGACTTCGTCGGTTGGTCGAGGCCAAACCAGACACACAGTTTTTGATGCAACTTGTCCAACGACGCCCACTTAAGTTTCTCACATAAAATGTGTCATGCTTCAACCATCTTAGAAGTTTGGACGGGTTCCACTTCGACGGGTTCCGTCTTCAGAAGTGACTCCAACCCGATAGGATATGCCTGTACATCCTTCATCGGAGTGTACAAGTACCAAAAGTTCGACCCTACATCACGGCAAATCCGAAGGTGTCCTTCTTCCGCACTTTGCCACGAAGGGATTTCCCCATCCGGGGCAACATCATCTTCGAGGTGCAGGTAGTCACGGTCCAGACCAGAGCGTCCAATGTCTTCCCAAATGTTCTTCGACAAAATCATTAGATCGATCTCCGGCGCTGAGGAGTTCCTACTCTGCGATGAAGTCCCGATATCCATTCTACATCACCGGAGAAACGCAAGGAAGCGCGTAAGTTGCGATTCTCCCAAGTGCATAAGCAAAAAATACAGGATCTTGATATGCACGAAAGGGTTCGACAATTGGGAATTGGTTCGCACATCGCAAGAGAGCGCAAGTTTTTTAACCGCCGTCTAATGCCGACTTATTTTGTACACGTCATTCATGTGGGTCGATAAGTGAGAGTAGATTCGCACTTTGCAAGTGAGCGCAAGTCCTGCAACCGCCGCCGACTTATTTTCTACACGTCATTCATGTGGGTCGATAAGTGAGAGTAGATTCACACTTCGCAAGTGAGCGCAAGTCCTGCAACCGCCGCTTAATTTCGACTCCTCTCCAACACGTCATTCGTGTGGAACGGTCAGACTACTCTCTTATTGGGGACCATTTTCCTTACAGATATTGAGCATGTCCGTTGTGATAGTACGGACAGTCGTACACATAATGGGCCGTCAGCAGACGACAGTCCTCCTCCCAAAAAACAGTCTCTAAGTTATGGTCCCTATGTTCCACTCTCCAGAAAATCTCGTCACAGTTATCGAGAAGGTAGTGCAACTAAGAGTGCACCAAACAGTCGACTCTGGAGTTGAGCTCCTTCCTTAATGCCGCATCGTGCGACAACTGATCTCTGAAGCGTCCAAGCGCACCCTCGACCGTGGGGTTGCGAAACGCTTGCACGAAATTGAGGGCGACTCCTCGGAACTCCTCCTTTGCAATGAAAAGCGCTTCCATCTTTCGACCGTCAACCTTCACGGTCGTGAACAGCGTCACCACCGTCGTGTTACGGTTGAATACCCGAATGCAACCGTAATAGTCTATGATGGCCGGTGCGGGCACAACCGGTTGTCCCAGGCATAACCAGACACAAAGCTTTATGTGCCTTCTGTCGGGGTCTGACCATCTCTGCTTCGCACAGTGGACACGCCACTCGTCTATCATATCTTCAGGAGTGGCAAGTTCTTGATCTCCTTGCTCGTCGACGGGCTCTACATCTATATCGTCTTTCAAGGAGTACAGGTACCAAAAGTTCCAACCCATATCTCTATCGACCACAAGGTCATCCGCGGTGGCGCCCATCCTCAATATCACTGGAACTTGCCCATCCAGCGCAACATCTGATTCGATGTTTAGATATCGGCGTGAACAGTTTACTCGCTCAGACTCCCATATATTCTTGTCCAAAATGAAGAGACCAAGATCGGGAATCCTGTTTGGCGATACGTCGCCGTGAGACGAGCTGGAAGTGTTTGCGCGGGCTGAAGTCTGGTAATAGTTCATCCTGCATCGCGTGAGAAAGCACAAGGTAGCATGTTAGAGATGACGCGCACGGAGTCAAGAAGGAATGGCAACTGCGATTGTACTCCCGCTTAGTAAAAGGAGCAACGGACAAGCCTACTCGGAGTCAGATAATTGAGAATGTGTCCGCACTTCGTGACAGGGTGGCCGTATTTCGAACACGTCATTCGTGTTGGAACCACCTCTTAATCTCGACTCATTCCTATCCGGCGTAAGTCCTTTAACTACCCCTTAATCTCGACTAATTTCCAACACGTCATTCCTGTGCAACGGTCAGACCACACTACTATTGAAGACCACAGGATGGAAAAAGTGACAACAATGACGAGTTAGCTCAGACTAATGTCAACAATGATGGCGTCGATGAACGGCGAGATTGTCCTATGAGTACAGCAGCAAAGTGCGAACTAACTCGGAGTTGTCTCACATAGCAGGTCATGGCGACTGGTGTCCATCCTCACAGTAAGGGCAGTCGTTGATCTGTCTCCGCCTACCCCCTACGAATTCCAATGTTTGGACACCCGAACGGTGATGCGAAACTTTTCGTAGAGTGTAGTCATTGCAGTTGTCCTTGTGTTCCAACGTGAAGAATATCTCCTCACACAATCCGAAAAGGAAGTGAAGTTGGGCATGCACCAAACAATCAACCCTTTGATTCAACTCTTTTGTGAGCGAAGGATCTATTTTGAATCGTTCACGGAAGCGCTCAAGAGCACCCACGGACGCGGGCTCGCGAAAGTCTTCCCTCACAAGGAAGAAAACTCTTATTCGCTTACCACAAAGCTTGGCTGCCGTGAAAAGAGTCAGTACAGAGGTACCACGGTTGAACAGACGAACTCGGCCATGGTAGTCTATGATCACAGAAAAACGCAACTGCGGCTTCCCGATGCAGTACCATGTGCAAAGTTTAGCATGATGCTCGTCCATACAACCCCAGTCTTGTTCGAAGCACAGCGACTCCCAAGAATCTACCATATCCTCGACGTCTACCTTCTCCTCCTTACTGGATGGAACTTCCCAAAGTTTGACTTCTTCTAAGCTCCAGTAGAGGTACCACATATTTGATCCTTTATCACGAACTATTGTAGTTTGTCCATCAATAACACGTAACATGTTATTCGTTAAAATATGACATTATATTTTAAATTGGTACTCGCACGCTATTAATTTCATGTTAAAATCGCTATATTTTGGACCTGAATGAAACTTAGGAACCCGAAGATTGCATCTAAGAGGCCATAAATTGAATCTAAACTGGAGATTCAAGGCAATCACTTACTGATCATGATGGATTAAGTGTGGATTCCATTGCATTTCCATCAATTTAGAATGGTTACCTCATCAAAATGTACTTTCTAAAACGCTATCAAAATGTTTGGATCATGTTGGATTAAGTGTGGATTCCATTGCACTTCCATCAATTTTGTAACTTAAAAGCCGTTACAGTTACAACATGAATTGTTGAACTCTCGATCTCTTTACACCTTGCTCAATTTTGTGTCAGCATTGAGTCGGACCTCTTTTAGATGACATTGTGACTTCCCTTAATTTATTGAAACTCAATCAAAGTGGGACATTTACGGCAAGCACACAGATGGTTTAAGTGCTAATAGTCTAGTACGGATTCCGTCGCACTTCGATAATTTTTGCTTTGAATTAACTCTATTAAATGTATACCAATCACGACAAAGTTTAACGAATCACACGACAAACGAATCAGACGACAAACAAGATTACGGTTTAAGTACAGTGACTATGGGTTCCATCGCACTTCGATAATTTATGTACTACATACTTATTAAAAGACATGACACTCAGTCTGTTCGGTGTGATTTAAGGATGGATTCCAACACAGTGGCACTTCGATAATTTTGGACTCAATCACACTTCGACAATTTATGTGATTTTAAAGACGAAACTGACATGTCATTGTTATACATTGAAATGCACTTGAATCAAACGTAGTACACATGACATTGTGTGAAGGTGAAACTAGATGGTTTACGTATGGATTCCGACGCACTTTGACAAAAAATCATAAACCGATATGACATTGTCATATGAAACTGAAATTCACGTGAGTACCATGGATTCTGTCTCACTTCAAGAAATGTCGTACCCATGAAAAATTAAAATTCAAAAATTGTATCGGTAATTAAAGTTCAAAATTGTACCGACACGTGCAAGAAATTGCAAATGCAAGATTGAAGTACGTCTACATTAAACGCTATAAGCCAACTGTACATTGAACTACGTCTTCATTAAACGCTACGAGCCGCAACAATGTAAACTTTCTAAAACGCTATCATTCACAAAATTTGAAGTTTCTACCGATGTCCCCACGTCCCTTTAGAACCAAACCCGTATAAGGCATTCATAGATGACCCGAAAACAAGGGTTTGTGGCTGTCCCTTCGTCGCCACCCTCGAGAACACCGAAATGTACTTCATCCTTACAAACCTACAGGTACCTGCCAAGGACTTACCGATGGCGTCACTCACACACCATGTCACTTGCTCTACCTCATGCCACTTATGAACCTCATCAATTCGACTGACAATCTCCAAATCGGATTGTCCGTTCTCGCACAGAAGGCGCAAATTCCTCATGTTAAGACCATAGATTCCAAGGTTGTTGCAAGAAACTAGCACTACAACGTCTACCAAAGTCCGCTTTCGGTTTGAACATGCCACACACAACACTCTGCAGAAGTCGGAACCGGCCACAAACAACCGTATGCAATAATATGACACATCTTTTGGCTGTAACCCGGCACCACGCAGCGGATATACTTCCAAAAACGGATTGTAGGATGCACAGTCCAACAACTCTTGTTTGAAGTCCGCAGACTACACCCGAAGTGACCTCGTTATGTTGTCTAGGCGAAGGTAAAACCGGTTATTCTCTTCCTGCCAGAGCGCGGCGCGCAGGGACGGAAGTTGCCTGACACCAATGGCATAATGAGGTACTTTGATCAGACTTCCCCACTCCATCGCGGAAGCAAATTTGTAGTCCTTATACCATGGGCATTTCCTTGCCAAGATGACGCTATCCCATTCTGCCTCAGACCACGCATCGATAGGTTTGTCAAAGAAGGGGACGACGGTCATCCACGGGTCGTTTTCGGTATCGCCTCGCGAATCACTGAATCCGCATGCACAAGGGTGAACGGGACATGCATAATCATGTCGATGGTCCATGACTCCTGTCGCACTCCCTACACAAGACATGAAATGCAAACAAAATGAAAATGAAATATCGCAATAGTAGAAAAATCGCCTTCATGATGAACATAACTTCGGAAATTGTTGAACCATCACTAACCATCTTAAAAAATTAAACCGTAGACCGTGGACAAAATTTGCTATGCAAAATCATTGAAAAAATAATATGCTCCATTTTGAATTTTCGTCCCTTCATACAGTTATTTTACAAAAATCTCACTCCCCCACTCTATCAGGCGGACGTGCATTAATCGCTCTTGTGCCCTCCATCTACACTCCCTTCACCAGATGGACCTTCACAAGATGGACTCAGATCCAGAAGTGCAGCTTCAGCATTTAGTCGAACACTGGAAGGAATGACAAGTCCAATCGTGAATGGTCTTGTACCACGGACCAGTCTTTCCCAACCAAAAGCGATCGAGTCAGCATCCTGCCATTGTGTCTGGTCAGTTATTTTCCATCGTTTTTCCCATGCGTTCTCATACAGTTGTTCGAGCGACTTTGCTCTCCTAGTAGGCACCCAATATTCCACTAGCACTTGATTATAATTTTGCGAATTATAATCAACAACCACCCGAGAAAGAGCTTTGCCCACCCAGATTGGCACACCGCTCGACAGATCATCGTCGGAGGGGCGAAGGATAAGAAAAGTGTCCACGTCAACATGCACGAGGGGGTCGAAACTAGTCTTCGGGCGATTTTTTCTTCGTCCAACAAACAGGGGTTTCCTGTCATCGATGTTGACACTGCTAGGAGAAAGTTGTTGATCGCTTTCGAGCAGTCGTGGTCGTGGCCAGAAACTTTCTTGAGGTTGTGAGGACAACCTGTTGGCGATGATCTCATCGCCATGTTTGATAACCTCCTTCCAGTAACACAAAGCTCTTTCTCTCCTACTCACCTCATGGTCATTGTAAGTGCACCACGTGGACCGCCTACTCTCCAGCTACTCGCAGAATCGAACAACACCATTTTTGCCATTCAAATAGTCATTTCGAGGAAGGGGTTGCACATGAGGCGGGTCAAACGGCCACGAAGGACCTGCATAGCTCTCATCGGGGTTTTGATTGAACCAATAAATCGGACCTTTCTCGGGCAACCATTCGTCGTCATCGCAAAACTTCTTGTACAACATGCCCGGATTATCTCCAATCATAAAAAATTTAAGCAAGTGCAGTTTTGAAATACCGGTAATGTCTGATGCAACGCACGGGTCCACTATACTAATCCAATCTTCCATCGTATCGAGGAAAATACATTTGGGAGGCTTTTTGTGGGATTGCTCTATGAGCGCGAAGAACTCGTCCACAGTATAAGGGTCTACGTCTTTCAATTTCTTCGAGAAAACGCTGAAAGTAGCGTCAACGTCTGTATGGGTGTGTCGCACCAGCATGAAGCCTATTTCTACCTCTTTGAAAACTTTGAACTTAACCAACAGTGCAGCCATCGCACATATGTACTTGTTCTTGTTTTCCCGCCAACAGTTATGCGCTTGAATGCGCAAATATTGGCATTGGCGTCCCGCTCCCTTGAATTCCGACAAGGGTTCTCATAACACAAGTACTGACCGTGTTTGAATCGTGTTTGAAATACGGAAACCACGTGTATACATATATACTAGGGTCACTACCGTGTGCAATGACGCCTGTAAGATTAGTCTTCATCATCATCTCGTGCCTAAGTGTTTTCCAGTAGTTCGCTTGACCAATATGGGGGATAGTTGTTTTCTTCTGATCCATGCAGTCGATGATGAGACACAAACGCTCGTTCGGACGAACCATGGAATCAGTTTTCGCTCGACTGTAGTCCAATCTGTGCTCAACTTGCCTCCTTTGGTGTGCTTTCATATCCTCTTGAGCTCGTTCTCGATCTCGAGGAAGAGCAGCATATTGTATACGTTCCTTCAGTTCATGACAGACGGCGCACTTCGTGAACGTGTTAGATTGCGCGAGGGAAACGTGGAAAAAGTGTTTCCGCCACAGCTTATAAAAGTTGGACTCAGACACGATATCGAGGCCAGCGGCCAGAAAGTCGGATTTGATGGACTCATAAATTGATCTCTTCGTGAAAGCAGTCGGTAGTCGAAACTTCGGTCTGCAAACCCCGCCTTGGTTAGCCACCTCATTTGGCATGCTATCCACATGACACTCAATGAACGTTCTCATGCTGGCAAGCATGACGACCGTTTTGTCGGTTGGCCGATATCTTCCCGTCAGGCCATGCTCGGAATGCACGTAGCCATCATCGAAACGTTTTTTGTAGCTGTAAAATGTATTACGCGAGACACCGAGTACATTGTAGTACACCCTGACGCATATCGAACGTTCCAACTCCACAGGGCGGACACGTTTCTGTCCACCCTCATTTACTGTGAAATCCTTAATACTTTTCATCCACCACTCAGCTCGCTCTCCCGGACTCTTACTGTGCAGTCCTTGTCTAACCTTTCGCACTTCCTCAGGTAACACATCGTAACAACATCGAGCCTTGCAACATGCCATGCCGCGCATCATGAGCAGTCTTTTTTCGGACAGCAAGTTCCTTGCTCTTTTGTACTGTTCTTTCCTCCTAGCGTTCCTATTAGCTATGCTATACCATCGTCTTTTGCCTGGCAGAGGTGCGGGCAAAATCTGCAGTAGCGCCCTTCTCTCTGCATCACCTCTGCCAGACGCTTCCGGCCGAGACTGACTCTCAATTGGAATTGCATCATCACTTCGCACTTGCGTTGGACTCGCCCGTGTTGTGGAAAGATCCTCCGAAGAGCAGTCGGTGACAACCAACTTCGTACTACTGGAGTTAGCACGAAGCAAAGGTCTACTGGAAGAGGACTGTGGTCCAGAAGAGTAATCAGTGGCCACCAAACGCTCACTCTCGTCATCAGATGATGCGTAAGAAACACCCATCGGCAGCCAACTGCTGTGCGCCGAAGCTGCGGGGTGCACCTCTCCAGGAATGTGGAACTCGATCCTGGAGGTAGAAGGTTCTTCGCCCGCGGACGTTGTTGCCAATTCTGTAGGCGGTTGGATGCAACCTCCAAAGCTCTCACGAAAAGCGAGAATCCGTTGTCGAGCGCATCGGTCCGGCACCGCACCAGGGCAGCGCGGGACCCTCCCGGTCGCGTCATGCAGGAGTTGATTTAAATCCTTCGTCGCAGATAATACATGTGGAGCTTCCTTAAGCCGCTCCGGCCGAGTGCGCCAGCCATACCTCTTGCGAGCCCCTACGACAGGATAGGGCCTATGCGAGGCACGACTTACCTACACCTTACGGGAGATGTCACCTCCCTTCGGTGGGCGTATCCCCGCCGAGCGGCCAGTCCACAGTACGAAAGCTAATCAGCTCCAATCGCAGAGGTGGACCAGGCGAGGGCGTTTCTCGTTCGTTGTAGCATAGGGGGTACGCGCGGTAATACGCCTGTATCGGACCCGCACGTGAACCGGCATCTTGGGGGCCTGAAGTCCCAAGTGCGGCCCGTCGTCGGTCGACTAGGACGCATCCCACACACCACGTGCACACCACTTTACGAACAAAAAAAACAAAACATACGCACACGTACGAAACGACATAACACAAACAACGTGACAACGCTCCTAGCCCCTCGGTAACCGTCCCATAACTTTCCGACGCGAAATCGAATAGGCGTCGTGCGCGAGACTTAGGATAAAACCGCGCGGACTCAGGGCCTACTCCTATCGACTCGCAATGCAAGCGTACGCAAGCTGTCGCAATGATGGCGTACTACGTAGTGCCCATAATCAAGCGGTCCCTCGTGGATCCGAGTACCGCTTATGACACTCAAGTGTCAGACTCGAAGTGTCGTGAGGGTCTAATCCTTCACGACATTGCACGGCTGAAGGAATAGTCATGCAGCCTCCGCGAGACCTCCGACCTTTGGTCTGAGCGTCTTAATAGGCAAGGCAAATAGGCTCTGCGCGAGGAAAAATCCCTTTCCTGCAGAGCCTAGGGCTTGGGATGTCCTGGACAAGGACCTCGAATCCTGGCCCAGGACCAAACGTCCGACTAAGAAAATCATAAAAACGCAAGAACAAAAAAATAGAAGGAGGGGTCTCCACTAAGCCCCTCGGTCTCAACTTCTGAGTAGGGTTTTAGTATGGGGGCCTTTCAACCCATGCAAACACTTATCCCAAGTATACCTATGTATACATATATAAGGGTTAAGTATGTGATGATCACTTCTCATGGTTTCACTGGGGTCTCTCACAATAATACGTATATGTGTGATCGTAGGCAACCAAATCCAGAATCTGATTCACAGCACATACCTGCCATCACATCAACGAACCAAATCAACAGCCCACACACTACACGAAGTCAACCCCAACCACCTTYGACACTCATACCCCTCKCTTTAGCCATGCAAGCCCCAAACCTCCTGTCCAACCAACCTTAATTAAATACTCAGCACCTTTGTTAAATGGCCATTCAATAAAAGTCCGGGTGAAACCTTAATAAAATAACGAAATCACCAGGGCTAAAGCCTTTTAGGTTGAGTGTAGAGGGAGAGTTGAAATTGAGTCGTAGACCGACGAATCGACAACCGACCTGTTATCAGTGATAACAGTAAGTGATCCTCAAGGGATCAAGCTGGATCTAGCCCTGAACTTGGATCAAATGATCAAAAGGATTTGTAACACACGACAGACCAATCCCCAAGCTAAGATCATAAGTGTATGAAGAATACAACTCCATAATACATCCTCACTCAAAATCTTCTTATAAGCTAAACCTAAGTCTACTTTTAAGTCAGTGCTTAAGCTAAAAGAAGACCAGCTGCAAAATCTCCCCTATTCGGGGTGGATCGCCTGGATCACCTGTCAAAATATAATCTATCTCCTCTAAACTAAAAAAAAATTGGCAGCGCTTCCCGTAGGAAAAGTGCCTTTTCATAATTTATATAAGCCCAGATACGAGAGCAGAAAAAATCTCTAACTCCTGGAAAGTTAAATTTTGTCTAACTTCCTGATTTAGTAAAAATTTGGGCAGCACTCCCTTTACAAAGGGATACTTCCTTGATTTATACTAAGTAAGATTTGAACTCACAAGACAAACTTGAGTTCAATTTAGATAAGATTTAACTAACTCCTCAGTTTTGCAGAAATTTCGGCAGCACTCCCTCTAGAAAAGTGCTCTCCCAAAATTTATACAAAGCGAGGTCCAGAATTTGAGAATAACTTTGACTTCTCAAAGTCCAATTTTGTCTAACTCCCTGAATTAGTAAAAATTTGGGCAGCACTCCCTCTAGAAAATGAGACTTTCCAGATTTATACGAATTCATATATGAAAAAGACAAGTTGAACTCTGACAAGTCAAAAGTTGACTCACATCTTGGATTTGTAGACATTTTGGCAGCGCTTCCCGTAGGAAAAGTAGCTTGCAAAGATTTATACAAAGCCAAGTATAAGAAAAAATCTCAGAAAATGCAGGAATTGACCTAAGTAAAAAACATTATTACAGAAAATGCAGGAATTGACACTAACTCCTATGGCTCTAGCACGTGGCGAGCAACTAAAGCAACTACCTATAAAACTGAAACCCAAACAAACTTGTCATCTCATCCAGTCACATGCAAACCAAACCACGAATGTAAGTACTCCCGCCATCCCAAGTTCATTCCATATAAATAGTTCGTGAATCTTCAAGTTCTTGAATCCTTATCCCATCTTACATAAGACATAGAGCTGGACCATTCGCCATGGAAACAATGCCCAACTGGTCTTTATGATATACACGAACAGGTTTCACAACTACTTTTTTCTTCTTTTGGGCAGATGACTAGGTCATTCGCCATGGAAACAATGCCTAGTGGCCCTGAGCTGTTTAATATCCAAAGATTTAGTATTTCTCTGACTTTGTTTTCAAAAAAGAAAGGACAAATATGGGCAGGGGACTGAACCATTCACAGTAGAAACAATGTTTAGCTTGCCCAAACAATTTTCATTTACACTCTGTATTTTCCCTTTTCTCTTCTTAATCATATGGCTTAACGCTGAACCATTCACAGTAGAAACAATGCCCAGCTGCCAGTTCACATGCAAATATACATAAAGTACTTTCCTTTATACTCAGTTTAATTTATGTGCGTGGTTTTCAGGCTAAACCATTCACCATGGAAACAATGCTTAGCCTTAGACCAAAAATCCTCCCTCAGAATAAACAAGAATTTAAACCCCTTCAATCAGGCAAACCCTCAGAGTTAACTAAAGTAAACAGGCAATTCATAGTTGAAACAATGCCTGGTCCTCCAGAAAACAACCAAATAAACATAGCAACCAGACCATCCACAGTAGAAACAATGCCTGGTCCTTTAGAAAACAGCCAAATAAACATAGCCCTGAGCCATTCACAGTAGAAACAATGCTCAGGCTTTGGTTGACCCTTCCAAACGCATGCAAAACTATCTTTCTCCCACCTTCCCCCAGTTTATCCCTTTGTCTGCTTTCAATCATAATAAAAAAAAAAACTTAGGCTTCACTCTCACACGTTCCTTCCATTCAATCTGATTAGGTCCTGAAGAGAAACAATAATCATAGGGACAAACTCATGCATACATCAATCATACTGCAAGGGGATARGCAAACATGGGTAGTRGTGGATTATACAGATRRAGATGCTATACCTGATGATTCCCTGCCTCCAGAACTYCTCCTGAGTTCCGGCAGAGCTCCCGCAATCGGTGGGTGGACTCCCCACAGAGTCTTGACGCGGACCTACGGGTTGAAATCCCGCCTGCCGCCTTCCTCTCGTAACCAAGGACTAGACTGAGAGTTAGAAAGGATAGAAGTAGAAGGTAGAGACTCTCAGATACAAAAGAGTTGCACTGAGACTCGCGAGAGAGGGTCTTGTTATCTTGGCTCGCCTGAGGGCCCCGCAATGGTGACCAAGTAAAATAGCTTGATCCCCTTACAGTCAACCGCAGAACCGACCCTTCTGATGACCTCTTAATTCACAACACCCCCTTCCTTTGTCCCAGCAAGTGCCCACCAATAGCACCAGCAGCTACCTCATCAGCCTCAGTCACACTGTCGACGTCAGCCCCCTGGCAACCTCTCAACTCGCAACAGTACCTCTCCCTCCTCCATAGTCTAGCCACTCCTCTGAGTCATAACACCTCTTCTTAGACTAACCGCTATTACCCAGCAACTCAAAACGCAGATTGTTCCACGGAATCTTGACAACCCACCGTACGCATAGCACTTTGCATGTGAGTATCGGGTGTCGTGGCAACACCTGATATGGACCTCTACATGCTGCTACCCTGTACTCAGCGAAGCACAGTAACCAGTATGAACCCCAACCTGCTGGAGCGGCTAGCATGAAGGGGCAAAAGAGGAGGGTGCAACAGTAAGCTCACCACAACTACGAGCTCTCCTTCATGTTGCAGAAACGACGTCGTACCAGCTGCAGATTCTATCAGGCTGTGGCCAAAAGTACTCCCACACGAATGCGCCAGCCGTGATCACGAAGTGCTAGGGAACCCACACGATACGGGTAAGCCTCCTCTGCCTCATCTTCTTCTGCCTTCCCCTGCCCGTACAGGGCAGGTACAGTCACACGTAATATCCAAACTCGCGGTTGGCCTCTTGTAGCCTCCTTCTGACGGCTGCGGCGTATCACTCGAGTACGTTTCCAACGTCCGCCACTTCGCAGGTAAGCATCCCGACTTCCTGATCCTTTTCCACTCTCTTCGCACCACCAAATCTACCCAATCACTTCAAAATCTAGTTTCATCATCATGCTCGCAGCGCCTCAAAACCCTGACTCTGCACTTTCCCCCGCTCGAACTCGATAAGAATCGAGTGAGCTACAGGCTCTTCCCCTCGCCATCTCATCTCCCTCTTTGCCACCTCCGCGCAGCTCGTTCCCTACTAACCTCTAATTCTATGCACCTAACTCTAAAACTAACCTCATAACTAGGTTCGCCCGGGGTCAAAACCCCCGAATCGCCTCTTTCCTTTCCCGAATCCGCCTCCAATCGACAACGGTCTCTCTTATCTGCTGCGCCGAAGTCTCAACCCGCCATCTTTGTTCTCGCATGCATCTGGCTCACTCCCCCGTCTAAGTTCATTCTCTTTTCTAACTCCAAATTTACTAATCTTCTATCAGAACTAACTTCACATTCGGGTTCGCCCGTCCTTAAAACCCCATTCCACACCCTTCACTCGCCCGAATCTATCGAGGATCCGATGCGATAAACAGTTCCACTCCCATCATATCCAACCTCCCGAATAGCTCCGCCCACGCGCCGTAGCCTATGCCGACCGAACCACCTCCCAAACGCAACTCCTGACTTCATAGGCCTCCTCGCCATATCCCACAACCCCCGTTTCAGGTCCTCGCCCGTTCGATTTTCATTAAGTAACGAGCGGGATGTGTGTTTTTCTTCCGTTTTTTCTCTCACGTCGGCCATATCTCGGCGCACCCCATTTCGTTACTAACCTTTCGTACACTAACTTTCTTGCTACTCCGACCGCATCAACGGATTCGCCCTAGGCAGAAAACTCAGTCTAACATCTTATATCTCACAAATCGGTCATATAATGACCGAGCTTTCTCAATTCTACTCTCCCTCCTTCGCTACCTCCGGCCATATCCGTGCTGTGTTTCCTTACTAACTTCTAAACCACTAACCCCACACCAAAACTAACTTCGTCATCGTCCTCGCCTTACTCCAAAACCCCAACTTCGACCTTTCCCTCGCCCGATTTCGTGGAGAATCACTCATACCGTCCTTTCCCCATTGCGCCTCGTCTGCCCCTCCGCCATCTCTAATCTCCTTCTACTGAAAGTACTTGGCGCGACTTCGCGCCCGGTTCATTCTGCCTCCACTCAGCCTGCCGCCA